TCCTGAGGGCCATACCCAAAGAAATGGCATAGCACCATGCGGCTCGGGCTCAGGTCTCCTTGCCACTGTAGCAGGGCAGTGTGGAAGCTGGAGGACAAAGGCAGCCTCAGCCTCCTGGGATGGAGGAGCAGGTGTCCTGCCCAGCAAGCCGAATGGCTCAACACCCGCAGAAGAGAGGGTCCTCCTTTAAGAGAAAGAGTGGCCACAGGCCTGGCATCTCACACAGGAGGCTGAGGCTGGAGGGTTGCCACAAGTTCCAGGCCAGCCTGGGCTGCATTGTGAGACCTTGCCTCAAAAATAAAAATCAGAAAAAGAGAGAGACAGAAAAGATGGCTGGGTGGAGGCCTGGGTCTTTCTACGGATCGTAAGGGAACCCAAGGCCTGGGCAGGGACCAGGACAGCAGCAGAGGCCAGGCCTGGTGGGGGCAGCACCACTGGGTCAAGCCTGCCCTGGGCACCGCTTCCTGGACAGCTTTGGGCTGTGGCTAGAGATCCAGAGAAATGGGGACCCTAGAACGGAGCCCAGGCCGCTGCCCTGCTCCCACCCCTCCCCTCCCCCTCTTTTTCTTCCAGTGGGAAAGAATGAAGCTGAAAGAACGCCCTGTCCTGCCCTTAAGGGCGTGGGCGGCCTGGAGGACAGGCAGGGACTTGGGGCCAGAGAACACTTGTGGCCATCACCTGCTCACCTGGTGGGTGCCACCCTCCCCGTGACAGTCCCTGGGGGAGGAACGGGACCATGGCACCCTCCTGGGCCCAGGCAGACAGGTGAGTTCAGGGGAGGCTGTTACCTGGCCAGGGCGGGGTGGGGTGAAGCAGCAAGTTTCCGGAGACTTGGCCTCCTTTCTGCACAGGGTGCTGGTTTCTGGGCACCAGCACTAATGGTACCATGGAGGCTGAGGTAGGAGGATCATTGCGAGGTTAAGGCCAGCCTGGGCTACAGAATGAGACCCTGTCTCAAAAAAAAAGAAAAAAACAATAATATAATGGCAACGCCGTCACCCTCGCAGGACACTGGTGTGGCTCCCACGCTTGTCCGCAAGTGCAGGTGTCAGAACTGCTTCTGGCTCAGGCGCAGCTGGGTTTCTTCGCTCTAAATGGCAGGGGTGGCTGGATCCTGGTCCCTTTTGGGAGGCGAAGTCAAAAAAACCGAACCCAGGACCGACACACTGAGCTTTACTCCCAGCTCTTCTTTTCATTTCAAGACAGAGTCTCTTGTTGAAGCTGAGCTCGAATTTGGGGTTCTCCTGCCTCTGCCTCCCAGCTTTGGCTGTGACCCAGAAGAAGCCACACCCGTGGTCCTATCTGACCTCATCCTCTGGGAAGCCTTCTGAGCTGAAGGTAAGTACTCCAACAGCACCAGGAGGGAGGGAGGGGCCTCTGGAGGTGGGGGGGGGCTGAAATTCCTTCACTTCCGCTACACAATTAACTCCACTGAGACCGCAGTTAAGAAGACAGAAACAAACAGTGAAATTCATTGGCAATCCCACTGGGTGGGGCGGGCTGCAGTGCTCGCCTGTGCTTCCTGCATTTAAGAGGCTGAAGCAGAAGGATCCTGAGTTCCTGGACAGCTCGGGCTGCCTACCAAATCACAAGCTACTTGGACTACACAATGGAACCCTCAGGATAAATCAATAAAAAATACATAAAGTAAGTGAATTTCAAAATCCTACTACGCCCCAGTCTGATTCTATTCAGTGACCACTGGTAACAACTTGTGTCACTGTCTGTGAGTTCTTGGGTTCAGCCGGGTGATCCAAACATAACACGCCTCTGATGCCAGACCACTGACCTCAGCCTGCTACTGTCCTTCCTTTTCATGCATGATTTGCACTTCTGCATCCACATATCTAACACATTTTTTGTGTGTGTGTCTTTTTGAGACAGGGTCCCGCTATGCAGTTCAGGCTGGCCTTGAGCTCACTTTGCAGCCCAGGCTGGCCTTGAGCTCGCAACGATCCTCCTGCCTCAGCCTCCTGAGTGCTGGGATTACAGGCATGCGCCACCACGCCCGGCTAACACATTTTTCGTGGCTGTATATTATTTCACAGCTTGGATACATTACACAAGCTCTTGGGCTTACAACAGGGCTGTGTAGGAACAAACCCATGTGATGAAGATACTGAAGTTCAGCTGGATGTGGTGGCACATGCCTGTGATCCCCGCCTTAGTGAGGCTGAGGCAGGAGGACTGCCTTGAGTGTGAGAATACATAGTGAGCTCAAGGCCAGCCTGCACTACATAGCGAGAGCCTCCTGGAGCACTCTTTTTACTCTGGGGATCCCTAAGTATGAACTTCCCCATTAGTTCTTATACTTTTATAGTTGTGTGGTCCAGGCTGGCCAAGAACTCAAAGTGATCCTCCTGCCTCAGCCTCCTGAGTACTGGGATCACAGGCGTGCGTTATCAGGCCCTGCTTTGAAGTTACCAAGGAAAACTGACCTGGGTGCAGTGGCACACCCTGGTTACCCCAGCACTCAGGAGGCTGAGGCAGGCAGGTAGCAAGTGAATGCCCAGCCTGGGCAACTTAGTGATTTAGCAAGGCCCTGTATCAAAATGAAAAATACAAAAGGGCTAGGGATGTGGATTTGTGCAAAGGCACTGAGCTATATGCATCCTTCTCAGCGGGCATGAAACTCCCAGTGCTGCGTTGCCCGGGCTGTACTTGAACACATAATCTTCCTGCCTCAGCCTCTCAGTGAGACTAGAACTCTGTCTGGCTTCTTGCTACTTTTTCGTTGTTTGTTGTTTTGTTGTTAAAGCAGGAATTAATTTTCTCCACCACCCATCTCTCCTTATTTATAAACTAAACCCTATCACTAACCTGGCGGTGAACTGGTCACTACACTGGGGTTCTGTTTCATCCTCAAGCCCGCAGGGCCTCTAGAAGGCTGCCTTTACATACCCTGTCCTCTGCATCTGCTTTGGGGCTCAGGATAGGAACAAAACTTTGGCTTTTTAAAGCTGCCTAAAGGTTTGTTTTGCCAGAATCTGGAAGGCTGAGGCATGAAGATCTTGAGCTCCAGCTCAGCCTGGGAAATCCAGCCACCTGGACTCTCTGTCCCTACAAAAATACAACAGGGCTGGGGATGGGACTCACCCTGCAGGACCAGGGTTCAACTCAATGCTGAAAAACAAGGACTTCTGATGTATGGTGTCCACCAGGGCCCCAGCGTTCCAGGATGTGTAAGATCTCCCGGGTTTCCCCGCAAACAGACCCAGACCATCCAGCAGCTTTTCCAAGTCTTTATCTTCCCACCTGCAAAGGTGAGGCACCAGTGAATACCTGCTCACTTTATCAGGCGGTGGCACGCCATTCCCTCCAATTCCCTCAGGCGGCGGCACTCCGATTCCCGCTGCTTGCAGCCCAGCCCATGCAACCCCAGCTGCCCTCTGGCCCCCAACCAAGGACAAGTGGCTTGAAGGTCACCACCTCCTGAGACAGAGGTCTTTGCCTGGGTTACACTGAGTCTAAGGCCAGCCTGCACTACAAAATGAGACCGTCTTAAAAAACAAAAACCAAAAAACCCCCCAAAAACCCAATAAAATAAATAAATAATAATAAATTGCCCAGGTTGGGCTGGAATGCGTGACCCTTCGGCTTCGGACTCAGCCTCAGCCTCAGCCTCCCAATGTGCTGGGACTGAAGGCGTGTGCAGCCACACCCACAGACCTTTTCCAAGCACGGCGGGCTCCCCTGGACTGATTTTCGGTCCTCCCTCCCCTTGGCTGACGAAGGCGGACACTGGAAGGTCAGGGGAAGCCGCCTTGCACAACCTGCAGTTCCAGCGAAGCGCTCAGGCACTGGGGTGAGCGGCTGCCTGAGTCAGGGTCCCCAAGATGTCAGCGCCCCGGCCTCAAGATGCTAACGTGAAGGTTTCCCTCCGGGCTAGCGTGCGGAGAGGGGCGGGCAGCTTTCTTGGGTCTGGGCGGGTAGCTCCCCAGGCCCGCGGCCGAGCCCCGCCCCTTTGGGTATTCCTCTGCCCAGGAGCAATCTTTTTCCTCTGGCATTGAGGATTGAACCCAGGGCCTTTCCACAGAACTACATCCCAACTCTTTTTACTGTAATTTACTTTTGAGACTGCGTCGCACTAAATTAGCCTGGCTGGGCTTAAATTTGGGATCCTCTTGCTTCAGCCTCCCAGAGTGCTGGGATTAAAGGTATGCCCCACTACACCAGTCTCTTGAGCAAGCTTTATTTCACCCCACGACTACCCAAACAGCCAAGAAAATCTGACGGAAGTCTGGTGGGGGGCTAGGCCGTGAGGGGTGATCGCGAGTCCGCGGGGGCGAGGTGTAATTTCCCCGGAAGACTCTAGCCTGCCCCGGTGATGAATAACAATAATAGCTGACCGCTATCCTAGTGACGCTGGTTTCCCTAACCTTTTAGAACGGCCCAAAGAGACAGCGCCTTTGCCATCGGAGAAACTAAGGCACGAGGCTTTCCTTTATGCCTGACGCCAGCAGCTTAGGGTCTGGATGTCCGAGTCCGGCGGCGTGGACTGCGGCCGCTCCTGTGCGAATCTGCCCGCCCAACCCGACTCCGCTTTCTGCTCGGCCTCCGCGAGGTGTCGCCTTCGGCCGAAGAAACCCGCGGCTAGCGCCACCCGAGTGCCCGCACGTCTTCATTTTCAAATGGGGCCGCCCTCCCTGGCTCGCGAGCCCAGGCCCGTCGGGGGCTCGGCTCCCAAGCGCGTCCTCGGCCCTCGCGGCCTCCCGCTGGCCGGGCCCAACCGGAGCCCCAAGCAATGCGCAGCGTTGATTTCCGTCGCGCCGAGCGTTGCCAGGCCCGGGGCGCGGCCGCGTGCACCGTTTGGCGCGCAACTGGCTCGCAGGGGGCACCGGCTGCAAACCGGGATCCAAAGGGCGGGAGGAGCTCACCGAGCTCGCCAGCGCCGCAACCTCCTCCGCTAAGAAGAAAAGCAAGTGGCTTTTGGCGCGAAAGCCTTGGCGCCTCCCCTGATTTTTATGGAAATTAAGAGGGCGGGGTGGAGCCGCGCGCCGCTGCCTCGCCCCCTCCCCTGGCCTGCGCCACAGCCCCTTCTCTCCCCGCCTCCCGGGTGTGTCAGATTTTTCAGTTAATAATATCCCCCGAGCTTCAAAGCGCAGTCAGTGACAGTCATCTGTCTGTGCGGGGGACTTCTGGGACCGTGTCGGAGCTGAGCGGGCGCAAGGCGCGCGCAGTGCAGCGCACGGACCGTGGACTCCGAGACCCCGAGCGGCCCGAGAGGTAAGGAGCTGGGGGCGCGTGCTGCTTCCGAAGGAACCCTCTCGGGGTCCTTGGGAAACCAGCCTGGCTTCGCGGACACCCGGGAGAAAAGACCCGCCCTAGCCTTTCCCTAGCCTTGCCGGAGAGAGAGTCGCGGTTTCTGCGGAAAGCAATGCGCCCTGCGCCGGAGATGGCTCGGGTTGGAGCCGGCGGGGACTCAATGCCTCCGGACCCCAGCTGGGTCTCAGGCCCAAAGGGTGGCCTCAAGGAAGGAGGAAAAAAGGGTGAGGTGGGTCGGCGCGATCTGGGTCACGGCTTGCAGGGGTCGCGGCCGTCCCCGCGCCGTCCCCAGGTCGGAGCTGCACCTCATTCGCGCGCTACCAGGAAGGGGTCGTCGCTGAGGGCCTGGGGGAGAAGGGGGTGGGGTTGGATGCATACAAAATGAACTGCTGCCAGCTTTACCCTTGCAGCGGGTGGTTGCCGGAGGGCACACGCATATATCGAGTGTGGGTGGGGGTGGGTTTTGGGGTGCCCTTTGGAGAGCTCCGTCTCTGGAGCTTCTTTTCCTTTGCAAAGTTTGCTACCCCCCTGCTAGCGTTTGCACGTTGGACGTTGCATTTTTACAAAGGGGCGGTTGGAAGAAGAGGGTTGAGCCTGAGAAGCTCCTGCTCTGCAGCCGGCTAGGGGGTTCGCATCCCTGGCGCGGCGGTCCTGACCCGGTGCTAGCGGGGTGCATGCGAGGAGCTCGGAGCTCGGTTCTGCAGCGCCAGCAGCCCACTCCCCCGGTGGCTTTGAGTGAATGGAGCAGCAGTTTGCAAAGTTGCACGGCCACCCCCGCCCCCCGGCTCCGCACGCCCCTCCTGCCCCGAGTGTAGACAGCTTGTACACAAAAGAGCAAGCGCGGGGCAGGACTTCCTGCACCTCGGGAGCCGGGGCGCGCAGAGGGGCGCTCGCGGGGCACCCCGGCCCACCGCGCCGTGCCTGTCGCCAGCAGGTCTGGGGAGCGACGGAGTCCGCGGGTGCAGTGGGTGCCGCCGTCCGCCGCCCGGCTCCGCCCCGCACGACATGCCGGGCATGATCCGCAAGAACCCGGACCTCGAGTTCGACTCGCTGCAGCCCTGCTTCCTCCCGGACGAGGATGACTTCTACTTCGGCGGCCCCGACTCCACGCCGCCGGGAGAGGACATCTGGAAGAAGTTCCAGCTGCTGCCCACGCCGCCACTGTCGCCTAGCCGTGCGTTCCCGGAGCCCTCGGACTGGGCCACCGAGATGCTGCTGTGCGAGCCCGGCCTGTGGGGCGACCCGGCCGAGGAGGAGGCGTTCGGTTTGGGGGAGCTGAGCCGCCTCACCCCGAACCCCGTCATCCTGCAGGATTGCATGTGGAGCGGCTTCTCCGCGCGCGAGAAGCTGGAGCGTGCGGTGAGCGAGAAGCTGCAGCTCGGCCGCGCGCCCCTGGCCCCTGCGCCCTCCGCCCCGGGACCCCCACGAGAGCACCCCGGGGGCGCCGCCGACTGCGTGGACCCCGCCGCGGTCTTCCCGTTCCGGGAGACCCCCCGCGAGCCTGCTCCTGCCTCCCCGGCCGGGGTCCCCACGCCAGGCGCAGCCCCGGTAGTCGCCGGGGTCCCCTCAGTAGCCGCAGCTCCGGGGGCCGCTTCCCCACTCTCTGAAGACCGCACGGACTCCACGGCGACGCCAAGCACCTCCGGCGAGGACACACTGAGCGACTCGGGTAAGCCCGGCCGGCCCTTGCGCGGCTCTCCAGGCGCGGAGCGCGCGCCGCCTTTGTTGGCTCCGGGGCTTGGTGGGGCCGGTACCCGGAGGTTCTCACCTCGCGTGCCTCGGCCCCAGCTTTAGGGAGCCTAGCTGTGGGATCACCATGTCCTCCATCCTGGGCACAGGCCAGTGGACGCCCTAGGGAAAGGGCTGCGGCGCAGAGCAGAAAAGCGGGGAAGCGCCCCCAAAAGCCCAGGGCTGTGCAGATCTATTCCGGGCGCAGGAAGTTGGAGAGACTGCATAGATTGCGGCTGCCGGTTTTGTCTTTTTTCATCTTTTTGCAAGCGCGGGCGCGCCCCTCCCCCGCCCTCCGTGGGTGGTGGGCTGTTTACTTGCGCAGAGCAGGAGCCGATCCGCGCGGGCGGGGTTTGCAGCCCGGGCCACCCTGCTTCCCTCCCACTCTCCAACCCGAAGCTGGCTGCCACTGCACCTTCTGGGTGTGCGCATTCTCCCAGCCGCCTCCTTCCAGCGGTCGGGCTGCGTCATGTGGCGCTGATTCCTGGCCTGCTTGGAGACCTGAGGCTTTGGGAGGTGAAGGCGAGCCCCACCCCCCTTCCCCGCCCGGCAGCCCTTTAGGAATGCAGGCGCCCTGGAAGTGCGGTTCCTTGGTGAGCTCCATTGTGTGCTCGTCCCTGGAAAACAAGGGTTAAACCGAGCCTTTGCCGGGAGGTCTGGGGCGCGAAGGCCGCCTTGCTGTCCTTAGAGCTGCAGCCCGGGCTCGGAGCCCGAGGCCCGCAGTTTGCAGGGTGTCTGTGGACACAACCCGATTTCTTCCGCCCGCTCCCGGCTGCAGGCCCTGTCCCTTTAACGCCTGCGCCTGCCGCGAGGTGAGGAAGCGTTTACTTCCCACAGCTGTCTGCCTGGCAGGGCCCCAAAGCCCGGCTTAAAGGGCCCAGCCAGGCAGCCGCGCTCGGCTTCACAACAAACCCCCGGTCTGCTCCCTGGCCCTCGCCAGCGCGGGCTGTGTTTCGGTGTTCACACTCGCATATTGGACGCTTTCTGACCCGGCAGCTGTGGAGGGAGGCGGACTGCTGGCGTTGCTGGTGACCCCTGGTGACTGTCCGCTGGGGGCATCGCGACTGTGGATGGTGGCCTTGTCGCAGGGGGAGGTGGGAGAAGTACTCTGGGTCTGGGCATGTGGAGCCCACCCTTGGAGAAATCTTCCTCCTCTTCCTCCCTGAATGAAGTGGAGCTTCTGTGTAAGGACAGAAAATCTTCTCGGTCATGTGTTTCACGCCTGGAGGCTCCAGAAATAAGGAGGCAGGGGAGGCTCCTGCCCTGTGACCTGCTGGTGGAATTTTTTGGTTTTCTTTTGAGACAGCACCTCACTCTGTAGTCCAGGCTGACCTCAAGCTCATGGGGACCCTCCTGTCTCACCCTCCTAATGCTCAGATCACAGGCGTGCTCCGCCCTGCTGCACTGCACGGTGTTACTTAGCCTCTTGAACCGCCAAGAGTCAGCAGAATAGGTGTAGAAAGCTTAAGCACTTTGGCCAGGATGGTCAGCCATCACTGGTGCCTGAGATTTCTGCTGCCTGCTAAATGGTTTTGTTTTTCTTCATTTTGTGGTGGTGGGGTGGAGCCCAGGGCCTCCCAGGTGCCATGCTACTGAGCTGCACCCCAGCCCTGCCTGCTCATGTCTTGAACTCTGCAAAGGAAAATGTATTTCTCGAAATATTTACTTTTGTTTTTTGGTTTGTTTCTGTTTTTCTGAGACAGGATCTCGCTATGTAGTTCAGGCTGGCCTTGAGGGATCCTCCTGCCTCAGCCTTCAGAGTGCTGGGATGACAGGTGTGCACCACCACCCTGGCTTGTACGTAGTAGTTTAAAGAGGTCTGGATAGGTGCACCCGTCTTGAGGCTGGGGCATCCGCGCACATGCTCTAACGTGCTTCTTTTCCCCAAGATGAGGAGGACGAGGAGGAGGAGGAGGAGGAGGAGGAGATTGATGTGGTGACCGTGGAGAAGCGGCGGTGCTCCTCGGGTGGCAAGGCGGTCACCACCTTCACCATCACCGTGCGCCCCAAGGGTGCGGGCCGCCCGGGCCCCTGTGAGCTGCCTCTCAAGCGCTGCGCCCCCGTCCACCAGCAGCACAACTACGCGGCGCCCTCCCCCTTTGAGGAGATGGAGGAGCCCCTGCAGAAGAGGCCCAAGGGCGAGGCGGTGCTCCGGCCCCTCAAGGGAGTGGCCCCCGCCGCCAAGCCCAAGAGCGCGAGCCCGCGGCACTCGGACTCGGAGGACAGCGAGCGCCGGCGCAACCACAACATCTTGGAGCGGCAGCGCCGCAACGACCTGCGCTCCAGCTTCCTGACGCTCAGGGACCACGTGCCCGAGCTGGTGCGCAATGAGAAGGCCGCCAAGGTGGTCATCCTGAAGAAGGCCACGGAGTATGTGCGCGCCCTCCAGGCCGCCGAGCAGCAGCTGCTGCTGGAGAAGGAGGCCTTGCAGGCCCGGCGGCGGCAGCTGCTCAAGAGTGTGGAGCTCTCCAGGACTTGCTAGGCGTCCCTCGACGAGCGGCCGCAGATGGACGCTCACTGCCACGTTTTGCACATTTGGATTTTTATTTTTAAACGTTGTGTTGACATTAAGAATGTTGGTTTACTTTCTCCAATCGGCCTCCTTTCGTGTTTGGATCTGGGTGGGGGCAGGACCTGTGGGGTTCTGTGGGATGTCTAGGAGCTCTCCCAGGATGCTGGGTGGCTCCGGGCCTCCTCTGCTGCCCACCCCATGGCAGCTGCGACGTCTTGACTGTTGGGAGCCACAGCCTGGGACACCGTGGTTCCTCTCCTTTTTACAATGGTGCTTAAACTCCAGCCGTGTGCGCCCCGGGGACGTCCGTGTAAATACTGTGGACACCGCCTTGTCCTGGTGAGGAGGTGGCCGTGGCCCGGCTCTGGCAAGTGCTGTAAGGATACCTCAATGTTTGAGGGGCATGGTTTGTATACGAATCTATTGTTAATCCCGGTTCTGTGCTGTACTAATTCCTACACTGCCTGTATACTTTAGGATGACGCTGATATATAACTACATTTGATACTTATATTTTCGTATGAAAATGAGTTGTGAAAGTTTTGAGTAGATATTACTTTATCACTTTTTGAACTAAGAAAATTTTGTAAAGAAATTTACTATATATATGCCTTTTTCCTAGCCTGTTTTTGTTTTTTCCCTCTCTTAATGTATTTGTTCATGTTTGGTGCATAGAACTGGGAAATGCAAAGTTCTGTGTTGAATTTCTTCAAAATGTATATATTTAGTGCTGCATTTATAGCACTTTGAAATACCTCATGTTTATGAAAATAAATAGCAATTAAATGATGCAACTCATGTTTTCCTTATTAAGCAGCAATTTACAGAGGGACATCATGTCCAGATGGGTCTTCAGTTTTGGTTTTTTGGGACAGAGTCTCTCTGCGTAGTCCAGGCTGGCCTCACACTCACAGTGATTCTCTTGCCTCAGCCTTATGAGTTTTGGGGTTGTAGGTGCACATCACAGTGCTTGGCTATGCGCAGGACTCCTGGCTGGGGCTAAGAGTCTCGGCTTGAGGAATTCAGTAGTTCAGGCTGCTTTTGAGTTCACTGTACAACCCGGGCTGACGGGGATCCTCCTGCTTCAGCCTCCCGAGTGCAGGGACTACAGGTGTGCATCACCGTGTGTGGCCTTAAGTGCCTGGATTAAAACTAAAGCTGAGACATTGGGTATTCAACATTCTGGTATTTGTCCCATTGCCAAATAGTTCTAAAATTCTTACTGTACCAGGGTATGAACCCAGGGCCTTCGTTTTCACTCTGAGCTCTGTCCCCAGCCCTTTTTTACTTGCGTGCAATCGTCCTGCCTCAGCCTCCTAGAGTGCGGGGATTACAGGCCCGCAGCACCATGCTCAGTGCAAAATTGTGGGTGAAACATTAGCAGAATAAGGAAAGGAGATTCCTGCAGTGTGTCCCAGACCTGGTGCCCATGTGAGCAGTATGCCCTGCTTGGGGTTCTTGTCCTGGCAGGGCTGACTGCCCCGGTGGCTGCCTGTGGCAAGCATTTCCCTCAGCAGGGTCTGGGGGAGGGAGCTGAGGTGAGCTTCCCGTTAGTGGGAGGGGATTACCCTGCCTCAGCCTGCAGGGTTCCAGCAGAATAACCCACGTATCTGGGTGCTTGGCCTTGGTGATTTTCTTTTTTCAACAGTAGGAAGAATTTATTGAAAGACAGAAAAACTCAAAGTGGGTTGTCCCTGGCCTTGGTGATTTCTGCAGGGTTTCATGAGCTTCACTGGAGAGAATGGCCCAAGGCTGATACCTCTGTACACTTGGCAACATCTGGGACTGACAAGGATCCAAGCGCGATGGTCTGGCCCGGTTTGTGGGAATTCAGAGCCCTAGGCCCTGGGCACCTCATGGTGTCTGACGGGCTAAGTAACTTCCCTTCTGGTCCCTGTCTGCAGGCTGGAGCATTTTTGTTTGTTTTTGACGGAGTCTTGCTGTGTCTTCCAGGCTGCCCTGGAACTCACTATGTGGCCCAAATGTGATCCTCCTGCCTCAGCCTCCTGGAGCACTGGGGTGACAGGAATGTGCCTCAGCCTGGCCCTGGTCCTTGAATGACCATTGGCAGGTGAGAGGCCTCCAGTGCCTCAGCCTCTCCTGTCTCCCGGGCCAGGGGAAGGCAGCTGACCTCAGACGCGCCAGCGCCCAGGACGCGAGGCCACGGTTCTGGGCATGGCCTCCCGGGCCCCGCCGCCAAGGGAAGGAAACATCAGTCCAGCCCACTGCTCTTGGCTGCGCGGGAGCTTGGCCAGGTTCCGGGCCTCGTGCCTCGCTGGTGCCCACCCTTACGCTAAGTGTGTATACAGGTGTTCATCTGACCTTCACAGTTTAGCCTGCTTTTAAAATGCTCTTTCATGACACAGTGTTAACTTTGCATTTGGAGTTCCTGAGTGTGTATTGCGAAAGCTGCAGTGAGAAACGTGTATTGCCTTTCTTGACCCAGCTGTGGTGACCTGATTCAGCCTACAGTTCTCTATCAAGTAATTGTGACAGACTGAGCCACTGGGTCTTGTGTCTTTTGAGATGAGGCCTCGCTGTGTAGCCCAGGCTGCCCTAGAACTCTTTCGAGCCTCCTGCCTCCGCCTCCCGAGTGCTGGGATTACAGGGTGCGCTGCAACGCCCAGCTGGGCCAGTCATTTCAATACACTGAAAAGGCTGGAGCTGGCGGCAGAGGAGGTGAGCGAGTCTGAGAGCCTTGAAGGTGTGGGGCTGGCTAGGCAAGGACGTGGCTGCAGAGGGGCAGGGACCACAGGGACCAGCGAGCTCCTGGTCTGTCCCCCGGGCAGCCTGTCCTCTACACTCCTCTTCACCTCCTCTCTGACCTGTTCTGCCACATTCCTGCTTGGGCCATCCGTTTGGGCCTGAAATCCTCCCACCTGGCCTGGGAGTTGACCCCCTTCCCCAGCTGAGACTGACCTGCCTCTTCCTCCCTGAACGGTGTCTCCAGGTCTTTTTACGTTTTATTTTCAGACAGGGTCTCCCTAAATCACCAAGTTGCCTAGGCTGGATCTGAATTAGAGACTTCTGCCTCAGCCTCCCAAGTGCTGGGATCCCAGGTATGTGCCCCATGCCTGGTTGTCAACCAGGGTTCACAAGGGGGTTGGCAGCCCGTGCCGGGCACATTCCTGGGGCACTGGAGACCTTTAAACCAGAAACAAAACTGCCCCCAACCCTGACTTCCTAGTGGTTTATAACCCAGGAGTGACCTTAGCACAATAATGTAGTAAGCAGCAGGCATGGAGGCTGAGGCAGGAGGATTGCTGGGAGTTCAAGACCAACCTGGGTTGCCTGTCTCAGAAAGAGAAGAAAGGAAAAAAGGGATTACCTCAGCCAGCGGAGCCCTCAGCTGCAGCCGGAGGGGGCTGGTGAGAGAGCTTGGGTCCTGGGCCCTGTGGGGGGCAGTCCCTGACCCCTGCGGACAACAGGCCCCCCGTGTCTCTGCAGAGCCCACAGTGTGAGTGCCTCAGGGTCTCCATCCTTTATCCCCAGCCAATCCCTCAGAAGCCCATTTGTGTCTGAACTCGGGGACACTCCTCACAGGTTCTTACAAAGCTCACAGTGCTGGCAAGCCAGAAATGAGAAAAACGTTTTTTCCCAGCACTAGGGATTGAACCCAGGCCCCTCACATTGAGCTTCATCCCTAGCCCTTTTTAGAAATTATTTTTTATTTTGAGACAGAGTCTCACTAAACCAGTAGGATGCTTGGGCTGGGCTCAAATTGGGATCCTCCTGCCTCAGCTTTCTGGAGCGCTGGGGTTCCAGGAAAGAAGTCTTTTATAGACTCTTACTGTGTTCCCTGGGCCACAAACTCCTCACCAGACACTAGGAACTTCGGTTGTTCCACTGTCCCTGTACCAAGGCTATGAAAATCATAGTTGCTCCACGGTGTTTATTGAGTGACTATTACCAATGCAAAGACAAGGCTGACTGAAGCCAGCCAGCGGGGCGGCATTTGTGCAAATGGACTGGGAACATGGCCCCGTCTCATCTGGAGCAAGGGAAATAAATGGTGACGCATCTGATGTTCAATTTGCTTCCTGGAAGGCAACCAGAAAACGGTACACATCTCATGCCCTGGCTTGTGCCTGTGTCGTGCGAGCCACTTTTCTTTGGCAAAAACAGAGAAAGAACAGGGAATTTAAACCAAGACACAGACTGGAAACGGCTGGAGCGATGGTCAGGTGTGGTCTCCTGGGAGGAGGACAGGGCTGACATCTGAGTTCGCAGCTGGGCACGGGACTCTTGTCTGTCATCCCAGCGGTTCAGGAGGCTGAGGCAGGAGGACCACATGTTCCAGCCAGCCTGAGCAGCTTAGCACCTCAGCGAGACCCTGTCTCAGAATACAAAAGGGCCGGAGTGCTGCTCAGTCCAAGGCTGGGGCCAGCTCCCGGCTGCCTAAAGGGCCGGGTGCTCATGCTGGCAGCTGAGGGGCCACTGCCTGGCTGCTCCCGAACTTCGGGCTTTCACTGGGGAGAAACGCTTCTCGCGGCACCCTCCGCTCCCTGCCCCAGGGCAACTGACTTGTGCTAGTTTGCTCGGGACTCCTAGTTGTTGACTGGTGATTGCTCTCCTGGGGCTGAACTCAGGGCCTTCCCACAGAGCTGCATCCCAGCCCTTAATTCTTTGTGTATATGTATTTTTGTATTGAAAGGGGGACTTACTGAGTTGCTAAGTTGCTCAGGCTGGCCTTGAACTCAGGATCTTTCTGCCTCAGCCTCCTGAAAACCCTTTTTATTTTTAAGCCAGGATCTAAATTGCCCAGACTGAGCTCACCTTGCGATCCTCCTGCCTCAGCCTCCCCAAGTGCGGGGCTGACAGGTGTGGGGCTTAAATCCAGCCCTCTGGGATCTCTGCCGTCCATCAGGCATCTGGCAGGGAGCAGAGAGGGGCAGGCAGGCTGGTATCTCCCCGACATGGCTGGGGGTGTGTGGGGGGGTGGACCCTACCCCGACCCAGGCTTAGGAGCACAGCCCAACCCAATGCCTGGCTGGTGATGGCCTCTCTGCTGGGTGCCGCATGCACGTTCCACAGGGTGGAAGCAGCAGCGCGGAGGCCCAGGCCAGGGAGTCGGGACCCTCAGCTTTTCAAGCAGGGATTTGCATGCGATTAGCGGGGAAGCACAGTTAACTTCCAATTAGCGGCATCCAGGCCTGCAGCCTCCGGTGGAGGGTCCCCGTCCGTCATGCCTATGGCCCTCCTGGTCACAGGGAGGGGCCAGCTGGGGAGAGTGCTCGCTCCCCAGGCTCTGCACCGTGCAAATGGCACCCTCTGGGGTTGAAGGCCGCCCTAGATTCTCCTGCCTCAGCTTCCCAGAGTGCTGCAGGCCAGACCTACCGAGGCCATGTGAGAAAATTAGACAGAAACCACAAACAGAAAAGGAAAACTAGACAGTGACCTGCCTTCCTGGGAGCCGCTGCGGAGACGTCTGTAACGCTTGTCAGATTTCCTGTGTGTAACAGCACATGATGTGCTACTGCAGTGACGGTCAGCCGCTAGAGCTCTCGGCATCGCAGACACTGGGCCCGAGTGTGTAGGTCTGCCACAGTGTGGAGGGCCGTGGCCAGCTCTCTGTCCTGTACAAGCGACTGTATCTGGGTCTCCCTTTTATTAAGAGGAAAACATCTTGAGCCAGTTATGGTGTTGCACACCTGTAATTCCCGCACTTGGGAGGCTGAGGCAGGAGAGCTCAGTTTGGACCAACTTATCCAGACCCTGTCTCAAAATAAACAATAAAAAGGGCGGTGGGTGCAGCTCAGTGCAAAGGCTGAGCTCAGTCCTGGTGC